ATSTTWAWKGAAATGTGAAGAAAATYTATTKCTCCAAATCTCCACTGAACCRTGTCAGTCTGAAGGTACAAGACTGGCTCCTTTTCTCAACCAGACCCCCGAAGGACTGCGTGCTGCACGCCATGACCTGAAAGTGCTCTTTGTTTCCTTCTCTTGAAGAGCTAAAATTAGATAAACCATTGCACTGGTGATTGCACTGSTTCTTTTCAGTGTAAATCACGAAGGTTTGCAATTTGAGGGAGGTCATCTGAACAACCGTGCAGCTCGTGCAGTGGGGTCCTTCCAAAATCATTTAAGCAGCACAATGTTCTTACACTCCTGCATCTTTTTGCAGGAGATAAATATTTAAGYATCTAGCATGCTGGAGGATCTAGACTCCAGTAGCTCTTTTCCTCTTTTAGATGCTCCTTCTGCCTTCAAATCACGAGTAATTTCTAAACCTCTTCCAAACCCCGTCTTCAGGAGCAACTGGGTTATCAGCTTCAAAAAAAGTCCCAAAACAAAACAGAAAAAAAACCCCAAAAAACCCCCCAAACCAACCAAAACAAAAAACAAACAAAACAAAATAAAAACCCAAACAAACAAAAAAACGAAACCAAGCAAAAAACACTACCAAATCTGTAGCAGCTGTTTTAGAGGTGGTACGGGGGCAGCAGCACAAATCCCAGTTATCTTTATACAGAAAATCAGGGAAGGTCCAGCCTTCCTTTGCTTTTAAACTTTCATTTCCTCAAGATATGTCTTCCCTCAAGTCTTTGAAGATCCCTGTTTTACAGTTACTCATCTAGATTTCATGCTCAGTGATAAAAAACAATCAAACAAACCCTGGTATTTTGCTGAGGAGATCTGAGGCACACATTGTACATYTTGATAGTTGAATACATTTTTATGGTTTTGAAGGGTGAGCAAAACATTTTCAGGCTGCCAATCCCAAGTAGTCAGAACTATGAGTCAGGRAAAGAGAAGGAAAGAGAAGCAAAGGGAAGGAAAACCCCCAACCTRTGGAACACTTTTTAAGAATACGCTTTTAATCTTCTCCATTACCATTTGGGTCACAACGACATAAAAGCTATAAATTAGTAAATGACACACCTAGGTCATGCTGACAAGCTTTTCTCCCTTACCAAAACACAAGATTTTCACAAGACCAGAACATTACAGGAACAGCCAAACAACAGATAGCTAAACAAAATTCACAGTGTGACAGAAGAAGAAGAATGGGAATCTGTGGTCCACTGCATAGATTTGKCTTGTCTTTAGCTTCTACCTATGACTGAAAGAGGGCTTTTAAGAATCACCAAAAGAATATGAGAGTTCTGGCCACCCATATAATTAGATTCTGTTTAATAATAGTATCAGTCTCAACCAATTCACTACATAGCATCTCCAAAAGAAGATATCAAAGCAGWATATTTTGTAGAACTATATTAAAAATATCTTTTTGCCCTCAATGCAATCCTTTCYTTTTAAAACTGTTTTTAAAAAAGCTCTGCTGAAGTTAAAAAAAATAAACTGTTTACAAATGAACTTCTCATTATCTCAGGTATGTGAGCTATGTGGATGTACATCAGAGGAGATTAGTGGAGATAACCTTTGTATCACTGAGGAGCTAGTAACAAAGCCCGGGATGCTCAGAAGGGCCACAGACTGCTTTCAGCACACTGTGATCAATCTCAGCAATGTTTTCTCTCTGTCTTTCTTTTTTTTTCTTCCTTCCTTTATAACCTGGTGTTAGTTTTTGCCCGAAGAAATTGCACAAGAAAACAGAAGTTAAATGGAGTGATCTGAAGAGATTTCAAATATTATTCTGGTATTATATGAACTTCAACAAATGCATAGCTAAGAAGTCTTCACATAAGTGAAAGATGACTATCATTTTTATCAAGTTATTCCCTATTAATTTAATTACATAATTATCAGAGTGCAAAACTAAGAACCAAACCTAAKAAAGGTTTAAATGCTAAATTAAACAGAGAGTCAACTGAATCTCTAAAAGTTGGTTAACATACAGGTATGGTATGTTCATTTATATGGACAACACAGTCTGTAAGCAAGGAAATCAGATTTTTAAAACTAATACGGGTGTTGGTATAAAAATGAATAGGCTAGCAAAAACTTATGAATGAAAAGAATTAGGTATCTTTTTCAGATTCTTAGCAATATAAGTTCTTTATAATGAGATAACTTTTAAGAGGGGCACTCCTTGAAACAGCCGAAAATTTCTGCCAGGAGAAAGGCTATGTCAGTTGCAAGGATAGTTCATTTCTCTAGAACTGGGAGCATGTAATTTCTGCAACAAAGATCTGTGAATATAAACTTCAGTTTAGCACCACAGGCCACACACATTTCCTCCAGCACACCACAGTGCCGTATCGTCCTCTGCCAGATTTGCACATAATGGCACAAAGMGAATGCTCAGGAAAAGGCTCACTGAATGGGCAATTTCACACATCACACTTTTCAACTCAGCAAAATAAACATTTCCAGTACTAGGTGCTCTAAGTGTTGCAGGACTGAGCAGAGTTTAGCATGATGAGCCAGATCTTCATCATCCTCTTACAGTTAATAAAATGGGTCAAGTCAACTTGAGGCTGCTGTTGGAACCCTTTGGGTCTCAGCTGTGCCCCAGGAACAACTACACTGGTTTTGTCTAGAGATGTCAGGAAACAGCTTCAAATGTCACCTAACATACCTTAGCACACTGTAAAAGAAATATTTTTATAAATAACCTGCAGATATACCCTCTCAAACTGAGAGCATTACTTGATGGGGAGAAGATGGTGTGAAAGGCAGTTTATTGAGTGTTATTCTGCAAGCTCTAACTCTGCCAATGACAATTAGGATACATTTCCACCACTCTTACATAAGGGCCTAATATAAACTTGGGTACCAAAACCTGCCATCAAAGTCTGGGGTCCTGCAGTATTGAGAGAATTGCATTTGGCAGATGGAATRCCGCCAACACTGGGGGAAGCTGTAGCAGTGCCCCATCATTTCAAGAACGACCATCAGATCGTCCCCACTGCAACACATGAAAGTTTGACTCACTAATTATTTGATTCAAACACCACAGAACTCTCACATCATCTGTATGACTGTGCTCATAACACTRTGTTGTGTACTTAAACCTATGAAAACACAGAAATTGCAGCAGAACAGACAAAGGTAATATATCATGATTGTTTTATAGAATCACAGAATGGTTTGGGTTGGAAKAGACCTCAAAGATCATCCCAACCCYTTTGTTTTGGGGAGGGATAACTTCAGTGAGACCAAGTTTCTCAAAGCCCCATCCWACTTGGCCTTTACCACTGTCAGGAATTTATAATAAATCACAACTGAAAAGATGACTGTCAAAATTACAGATTAAATATATRTTAAATTTTTAATTTGCTAACCATACCAAGCAAGGAGCTCTTACAAAAAGAGCTTTAAAACCCAAGTGTCAAATATGCAGAAAGACTTCTTCCAGTGCGGTTTTGGTTTCCTCTCCTTGACTCAATATAAGAGTTAAGTACAGCACATGTTTTAACCAAGGATTTCCTGGTATGCAGTTTCAGAGTTTCTTTGCTTGGGCTTATCTGTGGCTCTGGTATCAGGGAGTGGACTATGTTCAAACCTCATACAGATAAACTAGAAGTTTTTTTTGCTCAAAGTGTAGTTACTAGAATAATGATCAATATATTTGAGCATCTGAAGATTGAACAAACTTGCTGGTAGCAGCTGAGTTTTAAACAYAAAACAACCACCAGCAAACAAACAAACCACATACCCGACCACACTTCTACACTTCTGCACATACGGACAGAGAACCGGAGGAGGTTTTAGACATAAAAATTTGTGTATCTAAATTCAGGCCAGAGCTCCCAAGGAAACTGAAAGCTTGTTTAATTTGTGCAAAATGACAAAAAGAGATGATCACCCAACCGAGCCAACTAAAACACTCAGAAATTACCAGCCAGAGGGGCCTTGATCCCTAAAAGGCATTAACAGGACTGTCACTGTTACAACAAAGCAGCATCCTCATTCAAAACATTTTCTTTGTTAATGACTTCCACCATTAGTAAAAGCCTTTCACAGTTCTGTGGAAGAGTGTCTCTGTGTGTTTATACATGCACAGAGACACATAACAGACCAAACACCTGACTGCTTCTTTTTTTTTTTTTTTTTTCTAATGAAAGAAAGTTTAATATATTTTACAAGTGTAAGACTTATGATATGCAAAAGCTGTTTCCATATGGGGACAGAGAGATAACAGTGCATTGATACTTGCTTCACAACTGTAACTTTGCATTTCCCCTTGAAACTCTCTGGTTTACAACTATGAATGAGCTTTACTCAGTCTTTTTCATCCTGGAGTAGGACAATCAAAAATACCTGATTTCGAATGYAATCAAACACTTAAAAGCTTTCAATCCTTTAAAGCTAAAGGTGGTGCATGGAATGCATACACAGCATGTGAAAAATGAAAATGCCCAAGTATAACAGTGGCATGTTCTAGGTAGAGTTACGGGGGCAGAACCAAATGCCACAGCTCATGGTGCAGCACTTTACACCCTCTCACTGGGACAAAGCAGCTCTGCAAGTTGACTGACCCACTGTGCCAGGCAGCCTGGCTGTAAGGGGAGACATCCCAATGGGATAACGCGCGGGTAGGGAGTGTGGAAGGGCCCATGCAGAGGGTCTGCAAGGACAGGGGCACTGCCTCCAGCTGCTCTGCCCCACCAGCTCGGGGACACATCCCACCTGCTCTGAGGCACCTTCTCTCCCTGCTCGGCTGCSTGTGGATGATGTCAGTGGGAATCAAGGTTTTAAACAGTGAATTAAGCGATACAGTGTGCCAAAGACTCAGAGAAACACCAGTCCGAGCAGACCAGAACTCTTTGGCATTGTTCTTGACAACAAATTCAACTGCAAAATAAACTGGTACCACAATCAAAACACGGTTGGTGGCACAGGGAGGTAGCATGCTTGGCAGCGCCATTCAGACGGCGCTATCTCAGGATGCTCTATGTCAGTGACAGCGCGACAAGACTTCACAGCAGATGACAGACAGACTTCTTTTGTCTGGCCTCCTAAAGCACTGGGACGCTGTTACCTGCCTCAGCATCTCACAGCTCAACTAAAACAAACCTGCAGCCCGTGCAAAAAACAAATTACTAGACCCACAAAAGAATGAAAACAACCAATTGCTTTCTGACGAGGTTTCTCTTTGGCAGCGGGGGCGCGTGAGCCAACTCTCATTTATAGTTTSTTCTTCCCAGCCGATTTTGGGCTAACTCCATCACAGACCCATGCAGCACTGCTGGGGCTGACAGAGTTATTTGTTCGCCGAGCTTTCTTCCCAATAAACGTTCTTCGGGGACGGCGACGGCGCGGGTATTTCCAGCCCGGCAGCGCTGAGCCCACCGCCCCCCGTCCCCTCCCCGCCGGGACCCGGCCCGGCCGCGGGACTCACCTATTCGGCCGAAGCTCTCCGACAAAGTTCTCCGCAACTTTTTCATCCTGCTGATCTTCTCGGCGGACTGCGAGTCGATCATGTCACACATCGGGGGGCGGTCCCCCCCCGCCCGCAGCYGCCACCCCCGCTGCCCCGGCTCCGGGGAGACACCCCCGCTCCGGCCCAGGCGCTGTCCCCGAGGAGCCGCCGGGCGCTGCGGGACGGTCCCGGTGCCGCCCGGGCACGGAGCCCTACGCCGCGGCCGCGGCTGCTGCTGGCGCTGCCGGTGCTGCTGGGCTCCGCGCCGCCGGCGCCCGGCTCATAGCCCCGTCCCGCCCCTGGCCCGGGTGCCCCGGCACGGCGGGAGCAGCGGGCACGGCCGGGGGCGACGAGCAGCGCCCAGGAGAGATGGAGCGGCGAAAGCAAAGTCCGGCCGGGGGCTGCGGGCGCCGGCGGCGGGAGGGAGCGAGGGCGTGAGGAAGGGAGGGAGGGTGCGCTGAGAGAAAGGAGGAGGAGGAGCCTGGGCGGGCCGGGGAGCCCCGRGGAGGAAGGGCGGCGGCGGCGGGGGCGTGRGGGGGGCAGGCGGGGAGCGCCGGGGCCGGGCCGAGGGATGCGCGCTGTCTGCGGGCGCACGGAGCGGTGCGGCGATGCCCGGAGGGAGCGCTCGGGGCGGGGGCGGCCGGGAGGCGCCCGCGGTGCCGTTCGGTGAGGGAGCGGAGACACCATGTCCCCCCGTTCGGTGAGGGAGCGGAGACACCGTGTCCCCCCGTTCGGYGAGGGAGCGGAGACACCGTGTCCCCCYGTTCGGMGAGGGAGMGSAGRCACCGTGYCCCCCYGTTYGGMGAGGGARCGGAGACACCRTGTCCCCCCGTTCGGMGAGGGMGCGGAGGCACCCTCGGTGCCCGCCCGGGCGGACGTCCCGGTCTCTGGGGACGCGCCGCGGTGCCCCCGGGCTGGCGGGGCCGGGGCTGACCGGGGGTGTGGCGGTGCAAGGAGGCACCCCCGGCCTGAGCGGCTGCCCCGCTGCTGCGGTGGGGAGGATGGGGACAGGGCACCTCGCTCGCCCTGAGCACCCGGCCCGTCAGGCTGAAACTTGGGGTCCTCTCCACGTGAGTCTTCAGGCACAGCCAGATAATGCGCCTTMAAGTGCCTTAGCCTGCAACTTAATGAGTGTTGGGAGCTTTTGATCTTGTTAACTCAATTGAACCAACATTATTGAAAAATAAATCAGTTTAAACCATYAAGATGGATGGTTATGTCTAATCTAAAGTATAAAGTAGGTACTTTTCGAGAACAATACGTTAGGTAAGATTTCAAAGCCCAGGTTTTTGTGGCTCAAATTCTATGTTATCTGGTTAAAATGAACTTGGGTTTTAATGAGGCTAGCTAACACAATTTACTGGGATTAGACGGTCTCTAAGCTCAGTTTTAGAAGCACATTTGTCTAGACAAGTGTTTAGGTGAGTTGGATTCAAGCCACTCACATCTCTGCTCTGGAACTGGGATTGGATCTTTCTATTACAATGCGGCAGGGGTAGACAGTATGCAGCATCTTGAGGTGGAAATCTATTGCAGTTATCTGTTTTAATCTACTCGATGTAGACTATGCAAGTGTCTCTTGTGGCATACAAGATAATGGGAACTTGTCCTGCCATATAGCAGTACAGTAATGCTGGTAAAATGTCTCAAGCATAACCCCTGGATGTACAGACAGTTTGATAAAAAGGTTTTCAGAAGTGTGAATCCTGTTGACCCTGCTAGCATCTTTGAAACAGGAGCAAAAATGGCATTTTCAATGTTGGCTATGTCACGTTATGGAAGGAAATTGAGAAAGGGTGGAAACTGGAATGTTGCAGAGAGCAGTGCAGGCARGAGAAATAAAAATTAAGAAGAAACAGACAAGGGCACTAAAAGGAAAAGGGGAGGGAGGACAGAAGTGCTTAAGGATGTTTAACTCAATCACTTCAAAAAATTACATTTAAGTCCTTAATAATAGCTGATGGTTTTATCTTTGTCTGAATCTGACATTACTGTCCCTGTTCTGAGTGGAGAGAAAAATGCCATCATCATAAATAAAATATTCTGGTCCAGGAGCAGAAACTGASTGAAGCATTTGAGTCCTTTGCATTTTCTGAGTGCACCATTCACTCCAGGTAGCTCTGCTGCTTGTCTGAGACTTGTACCAAAGCTGTTCTTAATTCAGCCTGTGACTTGCTTTCAGCATTTAGGGGTATCATTTCTGAGAGTTTCCTAGGAACCTGTAATTAAGCATGCTTAATTGATAGATGCTGTCTTACCTAGTGAAYTAGCCTAGATCCTAGCACCTAGGGAATTTGGAACAATATTCCCTTTTTTCTCCCTATTTCTGTGTGAGATTTCACTTTACTGCTTCTGAAGGACAAGTCTCCTCCAGGCTACTGCRGTGGGTTCAGCTTTCTTTCACAGAAAAATGAGCAACCCAAAATTTCTGAGAAGCATCTGGCTTTACAGCTGCTTGGGAATGATCTAGAAGCATATGTCAGGGTCTTTTAAATCAATGAAAATTTTGYCTAAATTAGACACCAGTGTGGTGCCAAGTGAGAGAAACCCAGGTCTTGTCTTCTGAAAATTGTATATCCTCTGATGCAGAGATGTTRCACAGACTTTCTCCACCAGAGGAAGGACAAGCTTCCAGCTGTGCRCAGATTCTCCAACTGCACCCTGCAATTTCTGTCATTCTTCCCACCRTGGTCTTTATTTGGCAGAAATATTTCTGTTAAAGTCCTTCTTTGTTCTCTCCCCAGCCCAAACCTCTTCTGTTTCCAAGGGCAGTAGAGTTAAAATTCATTGAATTCAGGAATGTGGAATCACTTTTGTAGCTTTGATCAAGCTCATAATGTGGTGGTTCTTATTTCTCATCTCTGTATTTCCATCATCCATCTCAGGAAACCAGTAAAGCAGAAACAGGCAATTAGCAAACCACAGAGATAGCAGCTACTCTGATGATGACGTTTTGCTTCCTTGTAAGGACAGACTTTCAGCTCTGTTTTTATATTTAAGTCTTGCAATTTGTGGCGGAAAAAAAAGAAGAAAAAAAAAAAAAAGAAAAATAATGTGCAAAATTATATTGTTGTTTGCTGCCTTCTTCCACAAGCCTTTACCAAGTTAAAAAATGTTTGCATTTAATGGGGCATCTGTTTTATAAAAAGACAGGCACATTATTTACAGCACCTTTTCTTACAACAACGCTCCAAAGAAACACCCTGAACAAAAACTGCTGGCAGTTACTTTATGACCCAAGCATCTCCTTTCCTTGTCTTTGGTAAGAATTCACTACAAATCCTGGCCTCTGCTGCTGACACTGAGTCATGCTGAATCACTCTGCGAATGTAAGTATTATCAAGTGCAGGAAAAATAGTTGCCAAGATATCACTTGCMAGTTGGACAACAGGAAACGTTTGCCTCGGCGTTTCAGGCGAGCCAGGAGCCTCATCGTTTCAATGTTTCACACTGAGGTGTGGGTGATCGCCGAAGTAGAGGAGAGAGCAKGGCTGGCAGTTCGTTCATTATTGTGTAAAAGAACATATTGTTTGGAGCCACAAGCAGTGTGGTCATGGGCYTGGAGCACAGGGTGTGCCAGCAGCCTCCTTGCCGCAGATGGAGCGGCCACGGCTGCGCTATTCATTACTTGCAGGGTAAGATGAAACGACAGAAAAAGAAATCCGTGATGCGTGGTGCAGATGGTGGCTCAGGGTGTAATGCAGATCTCTGCAYTCTCCAGCTCTCAGGGCATTTGCTGTTGATTTTATGGGGTAATTTTATGTGGTCTGAGCTCTCTCTAGACCCCAGTGTTTGTCGTGTGTCCCCCCCACCCCACCCCCGACCCTGTAACACTTCTCCTTAGGGGCTCTTGAAAGGCAGTGCTTAAGTTACATTCCCGGGCCAAGTGTTTGAATTTCAGAAACCTTAGGAGCACACAAACAAGCAGTGTGTGTTTGTGGAAGAGGCAGTTAATGCTTTGGAGMGTTATGTGGGCAGAGTAAGACCTGGCATGAAGTGGTCTGCCCGAGGAGAGCAGKAAAGCTCTCTAGGGAGACGCAATAGTCTGTGTAACTTCTCTGGGGAGAGCACTGTCTTGTCAGGCTTTCTGCTGCCAATATGAAGTAGATTTTCATAAATCTCCCTGGCTGGAGGCATTCTCCATTAGGCCACTCTGCTCACCTTGAAAAGATCTCTCTGCTGCAGCGCCTGGGACCCGAGTGCTCGGAGCTGTGTTGCTTGTTAACACACAGCAATCCTTTCGTGACCTGCAGTGATGAAGATGGATGTAAAGTCACATAACACACACCCCTCCTCTTCCCCCYTCCCCCAATCTCACTTTCACTTGTCCTCTAATAATACTCAATCCAAGATGACTATTATCTGAAGAGAAAGCCAGGCTCTGCTAACACAAATGGTGCCGTATCCTTCGGGACATGACCTTTAAGCTCTGCTAGCAAAATGCATTAGTGACAAAAATTAAACTTGGGCAGTAGCAGAACRGTACCTGTGTAATCTGCATCCACATCRTAACTTGTTCCCACAAAAASTTCTGAGAGCTCATGTATTGTATGYTGCCTTATTGGTGATTGTCATTAATTCCCAATTTTTATCAACCTGTGGAAATTTTTCCCTTGTTGATATTCCATGGTGTTATTCCTGCTGATGGAGGGCAAACAGGCCCAGGTGTTTTGGCACCCCTGGCTGCTGGTGCCAAAGCCTGCTCTGTGGGGTAAGAAGGGCTGARTTAAGGTTCACACACATGGTGCCAAAGGCACAACAGGAAGAAAATGTTTTTCCTGCTGCATTGTGTCCGATTTATAACCTTATATGGTTAGAGGTGACCTCCMGAGCCACCCGTGGTTTTACACCTCTAGTACCCTCTCGTGGTCACTTCATTTCATGTACTAACATATGGGGTCACTTGTTCTCTCTTTCAGTCTTTACACCACTACATCAGGGGTTCAATGGCTGCAAGTGAAACACAACATCTTTAACCTTGATGYTTGTAGCTCCTGTTCCTGTTAGGCAGCTTCCTCGTGGTGTATGTGAGCAGTTGATTTCTAGGAAGGTGTAGATTCTTTTTGATTTGGCTGTGACACAAAGTTGTGGGTTAACACCCTCAGGCAGCTGAGCAYGGCACAGCTGCTTACTCACATCCACAGAACGGAAAAGAAAAGTTAAGAGCAAACACAAGAAAACATGTGGGTTGATAATTTCATAAGCAAACAAGTGAAACAAGAAAGAAAACAAAACATAAGTGACGCAAAGGCAACCACTTGCCACCTTCCCCAGACAGAGTGATGCCCAGCCCRCTCTGAGGCAAAAGACAGCCAACCTACCTAAACTCCTCTCCTCTCCACTGTATTGCTGCCAYGCTGTTACATGGCATGGAATATCATGTTGCACAGTTTGGGTCATCTGAGTGGTTGTATCCCCTCCCCACCTCCGTGCACCCCTGATCTCTTCA